AATGTTGAAGGACCTCATGCTTTTCCATTCCAATTGACATAGCAAGCATAACACCTTTTCCCCGATTTTGCTACATGCATAGCAATGTTCCCACTTAATATTGTACCCCGGAGATTTCATGCACTTATCATTTCTTATTTCGCGTGTAAGTTGAGGAGAAACGGTTACGTCAAGGGAAGAAATGTCATTGTCAGAAACATTTGTGGATAACAAATTTTTAGATTTCATCAATCGGATTTCATTAGCCCGTGCTAATGACTCCGGAGGGAAACTCACGTCAAAAGTTGCATGCTGACTTCTATAATGCCTTTCAATATTGTATTTCCGCATGCAGGTAAATTCACATTCACACAATAAACACAGCGTTTTCTCACCAATGTTACTACATGCAAAACGAATTTCCCAGTCAGGATCAAAACGATTGTTTTTAAATCTTTTCGCAGATGGCTCCATAATCCAAATAAACTAAAACACATACAATCACCAAATACCTTAAAACACCACCAAATCACCAAAACTGCACTAGAAAATGCACAGGTTAATCAAAAATGGAAAATCTGAACGATCACTTGGTCACTAAATACACATCAGCATTTAACGCTCCAAAAGAACAGACTGAAGGTTGGAAATGGGATATTTTTAGGAAATTTGACTGCGCCCCCACCCTCCCTCAATTTTACGATCGAACCGGACCAATCGGTCAAGTATAAAATTGTTCGTCCGGAGTCATTCAATCATTCAAGAAAATTTGAAAGGTATCAATACTTGAAAACGTTATAATAAATTACTATTTGTAATTTGAGTTCCTCAACTTTCTCTCGAATGTATTAAGTTTGAAGCTATAACATTCAGCAATTTACAATCTGATAGTTTTTATAATTTTAAATTTGAACAGCCTTGCAGGAGAAAAGGTTCACTTTTTAATTCCTCTTTGAAACCACCTTAGAATCCTCATTCAATAACTTGGAATCCCACTGAAATATCGAGCTGAATGTAAAATAACTATAATCCATTGATAAAAAAATTAAAATTATTAAAAAAAGACGGGCGTCTGAAAAACCGCGCTTTCTGGACGCTACGCGTCTCGTTTATCGAAAAAATTTCCGCCAAAAAATTTGACATTTTCGCAGAAAATACTTGAAAGGCTTTTCTATTAAATGGCGCAAGTAAAATTTCAACTAGTTGCCTAAGCTATTTGTTATGAATAAAATTAGAAAAAATAGGGGTCTCCCGGCCGTTGGTATAAATTGCGTTATAATTGTGTCTTCTACCTCTTTCTTGCACATATTGTATTAGAGAGAGAGGTAGATAGACTGATGACATTTTACGGGTAGAATTCATCCTCCGGAAGGGTAAAACTTGTCGCGCATCTGATTATTTTTTAATGGACAAAATGAAAAAAAATTGAAATTTTCCTCATCGACTTATTTCTCTGCTTTTCCTTTACTTGAGTCTCATTTCTCCTCTTTCCCTTTTCTTAAGCGTCACACCCACTTCGGTTGATCTCAGTGGAGGAGAAGGGCCTTTACGACCTGGGTCATAAAGGCCCATCACCCGATACAATGGGCTTTCGTCTACTCTTTGTTACGCACTAATAGAGGTCGGGAGCACGACTTGCTCTCAGAGCAGAGTTTGCCCAGCCCTGGGTTAGGCTATACGACTTGTACTTGTAAGGTCCTCGGTTAGCTTTGTGCAGCAAATCGGGAGCAATTCAAGACATCACATGTTCGATCAAGTCTTGATAAAGTTGTAGGACTGTCAGTACCTGGTCGAACTCCAAGTCTGACTCCATCCAAACTTGATCTGAACCTAAGCCAAATTTCCAGTCGGGTTTCTATATTTGTCAATTCATCGCGTCTCGTGTCGCATGTCTCGTGAGTGGAAACTCATTACCATATCGTTCAATATCGCCTTGGTCCGTCTATCTCGTGTCTCAAACGGATCTCTTATCCATTGCGATACGTGATTCATGCCTGCAACAGCCTCTGGTTGCGTAGTTCGTGTCTCATGTCTCGCGTCTTGACTCTCCTGAAACGTTGTGGACTTTTCGATACTCGGGGTCATCCGAACATTATTTATCTCTCAATTTCTCGTGACTCGTGTTCCACGTTTCGATGTTCCGAGTATCCCTCCTCCCGATAATAGATACTTTTCCTCTGCGCTCTCTTTTCCAAAGACGATTTCAATTCTCCATCTGATATGTCATGTCTTCTCAGACATCCATTCATCTAAAAGTCTATTTATTCTAAAATGACCATCCTTCATTGCAGAAATCGAACGAAAACCCAAAAAAATGCGTAAGACAGTTGACGACAAGGAATATCATCTGCTTCCTCCAGCACGCAGACGTGGTCGTGAAGTACGTTCAAAATTAGTATTATCCATAAGACGCAACTTGAAATGATGAATTAACTTGTCAGCACTCGTATTATAAGATTTTGTCATACTTTAATGTTCATGGTCTATACGAGATGTTTCACAAAACGTATATTTAAATGAAATGCATACAAGTTAAAACTTAGAAACTTATAATAAAAACACAAGGGAACTACGAGGTGGCAAACGCGGTACAGTGTATCAAGGTTAGCCACATTAATGTCACTGAGGAGTACTGGGATTTCTACCCGAATGCTAACGGCTTCTCAACTTTTTCTGTAGATTGAAATCTATCCAAATACGGGAATCTTCTTGAAGAAGAGGTTGGTCCGGAGATGCATTGAACGCAGCGGGAATAAACCCGGAGACCTTACATGCGAACTATTGAGATGCCTCCTTGGGAACCGTTTGGAACGCATGACCATCCACGGCGGAAATGATAAGGATCCAATTCCCAAGGAGACATATCATGGTGTGAGATGTAAGTTGTAAATAGTTTCTATTATGCTATTGAGTAGTCTAAGAGATATATTTTCCCAGCGTGTTTTCATTTCTGCTAATAAATGAGTAATTCCCTTCCGAATCGAGTCCTCCGGCAATGTATTATATTTTGAATTCCGCGATTGGTTGATTTCTCATGATATCAGTTTCAATCAACCGATCTACTTTCAATCAATTTATAACCTACGGAACGCATATTCAATATTCGATTATGGAGAGAAAAACCTCATTCCAGCTATAAATTTTGATCGCCGAGAGCACTCTAACCGCATGGCTACTAACGTCCGTGAATAATCGTATAATTATCATGGTATCCCGCGTGACGGAAAAATCCACTGTGTGGAATGCGTCGAGAAAACAGGCCGAGAGACTTAATTATTCAGACGAAAGGGAGACAGTTGATAAAATTTTAATCATAACGTTTTGTCGTGGTGGTTGTCAAGTGAACTACAGATATGGTGTTTTTGCAATCGGAGAGGACTCCTTGGAAATGAACCGTGAGCGGTATTATCCTTAGGTGAGTTTTCGCTGGTACCGGTTCTCCGGGTGCAGTCTCGTTCCGTTGGTCCTCGGTCCGCTCATGGTGTTGACTGTTCCTGGGCTTTCCTCTCCAGGAAGCGTGTGATTGCCTCGGGGTCCAGTTCTGCTGGGTTGTCCAGCCATCTGTCCGTGGTTCGTTACTGAGTGGATAGGGCTACTAGCCTGGGGCTGACGTTGGTCCAATCGGCAGGTTCAGTGACGGGCAAAGCACAGATGGTTGCAGTATCCGAGCCTTGACTTAGATTCTGGTGGATTGTTTTCTCGCGTAAATGAGAGGCATCTGACCTTGGTGCTTCTTCCGTCTATATCCATGGCAGTGATACTAGCGAACTCCTCTGCCTGCCGACCTTCTTCGCTCTGAATACATTCCACCTATAGCTTATAGGTATTTAAATATGAGAGTTTATTATTAACACTGTGTCATCTCACTGATTATAATTCTTACGATTATTACACGTCGGAGTCCATTTTTCATCTGGCTTCTGCATACCCAAACGGCCTCTTAATTACATAATTGTTTGTGTGTCATTACTTGGTCAGCATAATTCAGTTATGCTGGCAACTGTCACGATGACAATGCTGGATGACCAAATATTTAACAATAACCCAATCGACCAAAATCTGGTGCATAACAAAGTCCACAAAACTCCATGATCTATTCGGAAGCAAATTACTAATTCATTAGCAAAGAAACTAGAATCAGTTTAAATATATGCAATTTCGCACTCGCTAATGTTTATTTACTGGCCCTATAATTCGATTGATCCATCCATGTCTAGGGGCTGTCAATAGTTGGGTTCAACGCGATTATAGGTTGAACGAGGCCGAGTACCGACGCTGCGTTACTCAGTTGTGTACTCGGAGTCGTCCAAGCTATAAAAAACAACGGCAGAACAATGGCAAGGGGATTCAAGTTCAGGGAGCAGAACAACGACCCACGGAACCCCATTTAGATACAGTTTCAGAATCGATTCAGGAACGGGAGGCCGCACGACCCAAGGACCAAAACATGAATCAAGTTCAGAAACAACAACTTATTGGACTACCAAAACAGGTTACTCGACCAACAATTGTTTCTGAACTTGTTTTCAAACCAAAGTCGTGTGGGTCAGTTACTGGGTCAAGCAATGCAAACGATGTGGTTCCCAAGACAAGCTGCTTGGAACCACGTAAAAAATTGAAAATGGTACAATCGCCACGGAAAACCCTTTTCGCCAGATACCCCCAAAATTCAAACGTGACCGAAGTCCCTCTCAAAATATTAAGTACACTGCCAACATCGACTCCGCTAACCTCAAGGAGATTCGCAACAATGGAGGACAACTGTCAACAAGGTAAGATACTTTTCGAGCACTCTACATGTAAAATGAAATTTGACGTATGTGTCGCATTCGCAAAACGTGGCTTCCTCCACATTGTGATGAAAACTAGGGTTTGATATTCGTGAACACCTGTTTTTATACTCGCGGATGTGTATCACTTCGTAGATGGAGGAAAGTCAGGCTTAGGGCACTTCAATGCTCGAGGAGAGAATCTCGGGGCTGTGAGCTCAAGACTCAAATTCCTGACGTTCGCGAGAAGGTCCGGTAATGTTTGCTCGCGCAGAGGTAGTCCGTAGCGGCAGATTTACCCGGCGAAAAGCATGTGGGCGACATATTCAGGCAGTTTTTGGATCGCTGTTGGGCGAGGGAAGTTCACTGTCACCTGCAGTGTCAGTGGAAACGGTAAAACTATTTGCCAACATGCAGTATCTGGGAAAGCGCGACCGACCTAAACCACACTTGGCAGTTATTTAGTTGATTATAACTTCGACTGTATTTCGAAAACCGTTCGAAAAACCTGAGAAGATTACAGAAACAGAACAGTACATTACAGATCACAGTGAACTGGCCTAACGGTGTGATCATGAGCATGTTGTTTCGGACTTTCGTTATTTGATGGAAGGTACGCAAGAGTTCGATAATGGAATAGATGAACTCCAGAACGCAAACGAGAAAGCAATCGGATGAAGTCCATGCATAAGTTGTCGGTCCCTCTTCCAGGTGAAATTCTTGTACACTGCGATGAATGCCTCTGTTGTCTGCCTAGATACGACCTTCAAAAGGATTGCTGATCTACTGAAACAGATAAATACTGCGATATGAATTGATGATGGTGTTGCCTTTGTGGGTCGCCACTTGAGGATGAGAAAAGGACCTCTGTATTCTCTACTGCCGTCTACAGAAAGGCTCTCATTGGTGAAATTCCTACTAAGCCCTCACAGTATCTTTGCCACTGATCATCCCATATTTCTGTCGAGTGTAGGCCATGGTGAGTTGAGTCCATGCATGGAGGGTTTCTTCGGTGAGCTTCCTCAATCATCAGACTGGTCAGTCCAGACTGACGAGGTGGAATTGCTCGATGGATCTCGTCAGGGTCTAGTTAAGTGTTCTTAAGGCGACCGCCAGGTCTGCTGATGCCTTCTTCCTCTAATATTGGTGTCAGCTTTGCCATCGGGTGGATCCATGGCAATTAGTGGTGCCTCTAAAGAATTATGAAGACAAATGCAAATTAGTGAGATTGAAGGTAAAAACCTAGAACAGCCTGACCTCGGTCAGTTCTCTCGGGATCAGTACATGCGTCTGAGGCACTGATTGTCTTGTGAAACTGTCGATAGCTCGGATTGCTGATACTTGGAGGACCTTGCCTAATATTGAACATCGGTCCAGGATTACTGCTAGTGCATGAGTTTTTATTGCTGCTGCTGGATGTGCTTGAGATGGTTTTGCATCGGTTGAGGCTTTTTCTGGAGTGTGTATTGGTGATGATGGCCAGCATTCAGGAACCTGATTTATGCAATTAGGTCCTATTCACCATAGTTGATGTTCTGACAGCTTTTTGAGGGCTATTTTTCTGGAAGCACAGTCAGCTGGATTTTCTATACCACGGATGTCCCTCCAGTTGGTGGTAGCTCTGATGATAAATTCATTAGCAATCCTTCCTGGTCCCAAAATCTCCGAAGCTGCTCTTGTATTTGTTCGTTCGTTGAGTACCTTACGGCCGATAGGGACACTCTCGCTGAACAACCTTGAAGCTTCATGACCCGACGGAGTCTAACCAAATATTCTTTGTTGGCCAACTAGTTGAGTTTCTTTCGGATTAACGACTTTAATCTAGATGATCTCGATAATCTAGATGATCGGTATAAAATATTGTAAATGACCAGTTGAAGACCTTGGAGGGTTTCAATCCTTCTTGATGGCAGTGAGAATGGCAGCTTGACGGTGAGCTTCGTCAAGACGTGGGCGTTGATCTGAATTTGCTGATGCCCGTCAACTGTGTGGAGAAGTATTGATACAACTTCTCTCGTGTGGCAAACATTTTATCCTCCTATTTCGGTTAAGTCTAGTGTTGAGGACCTTCGTTGAAGTTGATGGACTAAGTGTTCAGTGACGAATGATAATTCTGATCCTTGATCGATGAATATTCTCGATTGGAGTGAATACCGTCTTGGTGAGTATGGTAATGCTTGAGTTGCTGCGAGCAGTACGTATTGTTTATTTGCTGATGAGTGATGGCTGCTGGGCTTGTTGAGTATCTCTGATTCCTTATTGGCCACCTGGTTGTTGCTGACTGCTACTGGTGATTTTTCCCTGGATTCTGGTTAGTGATTAAAGGTGATCAATGATTGCTCAGTACGAAGATTTTGGTAAGGGAACGTTGACCACCAGTAAAAATCCATCTAGACTTTTTCGTGTAGCGATCAATCCGGACTTAGGACAAGTTGTTTTTGATAAGCTCCGTTCGTTGACTGCAGACGCTAGCTCGCTAACAGAAGCTTCGAGTCGAAGAGAACTTCTTTCGACCACTGAGGTTGTGAAAATTTGGTTGTGAAATTATAACGGCTTTCTGTCGCCGAACACCTATCGATCGAAATGCTATTTGAAACGTGTGTCTTGATGAAGGCCTCTTTGAGGCGTGAATCTACCCTCCATATGCTCATTTGAGATGCTAATGGACGTAGTATTGTGTACATATTATGATATCGAGTGTTTGAGATGTAAAATAGCGATTTGTTCATCACTGGCCAGAGCAAAAATTGACCTTTTCAATTGAAATGTCTACTGAATTCCGGGATTGTTTTCATGCGATTCGGTGTAGGTAAGATGAAATTACTGATATATGATATATAAATGATATAATTGGTCGTCACCATGAGAGCTGGAACCTAAGTATACTCTCGCCATAACGCTAATATTCATTTCCTCGGAGGTGTCCGAATTATAGCGAAATACATCGCAAATATTATACGACGGAAGGCTCACACCATGTTTGGCAAACATAGGTCGTCTATGCGGAATTCGATTACGAAACCGACAATAAAACAATGTATCAGGGTGGTATAGAACAAATATGCGAATAGGTTCGCTACATTTTTCCCAAAATTTTTCCCAAAATTTACCATCCGATTTGCAGATGAAATTCAGGAAGTTCCAAAGCCGAAAAAGAAAAGTTCGGAGGAGAGGAAGGAAGTCAAGTGGAGGAGCAGAAGCAGAATCCTGAAAGTTAGAAGGAGACAAGAGCCAAGTAGGAGCAGTAGCAGAAGCAGAAGTAGGAGCAGGATAGATCGTGGAGGGGGATGTAGGAGTGGGAATAAAACAGGCTGGGAGAACAAGCGATAAGGTGGGCCTTTGATAAATCACTCAAATATTGTTGTGATCGTGAGTGGGGGGGGAGGGGGGGGGGGCACTAAATAATGATGAGTTCTCACCATTGACTTCCCCTTAATGCTCAAGCTCAAGCTGGGTTCTGGTTACATCGCAAATTATTATGGGCTAACATATGGTAGTAAAAATAAGCCCAACATAATATCATTGCTACAAACTCTTCCATCCATAAATGATCTTGATGATATTATTGTTTTCAGTATCACGGACAGTTCAGATGACTTTTCAAAGATGGAATTTCGAGTGGAGCCACTGAATGGAGTTTGAGGAAGAGAGGAAGTTTTTGTTCTCAACAAGATAGTTTTTAACTTGAGTTACTGTTCAATTCAACTTCTTGTTCAATTAAAAATCTTTTGCAGTTTCTTTTCCTCCTGAATTGAATAGCACATTTTTTTATACATTACTTCAGTCGATTGAGAATAAACAAAATGTTCTGTCTCGTCAAGCACAAAAATCGTATACACACCTCGGCCAAGAAAAATGCCTCAGATTACATGTTTATTAGCCTCGGCTTTGACTGGCGAAAAAATTTCATGTGATCTGAGATATTGCTTTTTTAACTAGCCTAGGTCTGTAATATACTATTTCACTCTCAATTATTCTACTAATTGATCACATCTGGAAGTTGGCCCGATAATCAGATCGTTGCGTAATACCTATGCTCGAATTAACAGAGAGCGGTTTCTCACGTTGAGCTGATTTACCATTCCCACACTGGTACGACTAAGGCTATCTCCCTTGGCGCCAAACGATTCATCAATGTTCTCAATATCTCTCGTCTGCCTTGGCTTGGGAGTCAAGGCCCCATCATTGAAGTGGTTGCTAGTGTCAGGAACCTGAGCGTATTCATCGATAGCAAACTGACGTTCTACTCTCATGTTCGCCATGTGAGCTCGAAGATCAACCGTACTTTTTTACCAGCTTTTTTTCTGTTCGTGATTACGGATGCCCCTACGCAAGTTGCTCACGAATGTCCTCATCTTACGTCATATTTTTTATTGTCTGGCCGTCCTGCAAGGGATTGGCTAACGGCTGGATGGGCAGCTCCAACCCATGGTAAAGCGAGTCGTGAGGTTTGGACTACCGAGGGATACCTCGGACGGTGACCCTTGACGCGATCTTGGGTGGCTCTCCATCTTGAGCCACAGGACCTCAGCTATTACAGCACATGTTGCATGTATTGGAATCTGGCTCGCCGTCTTCCCTGGTTGACCATTTTGCTGAAGACTCAATCTCCAGGCCTCGTCGGCAGATCTTCGCCTAGCAGGCTCTGGTAGTCCCTAATTCCCGCACGCAGACTTAAAAAGCTGCCTTGGCATTTGCTGGATCACAGATCTGGAACAGCATCCCTGAGCGCGTCAGTAACCAGCCGACATCCATGGCTTTCAAGTTTCACTTGAGACTTTGGTTTCTGGAGAGGGAAGACCAGCACAGTGTTGAGGTTGCATCACTTCCATATTGTACTATGCCTATCTGAGTACTCTTTACTCTGCTGTTTTGCTTATACACTTTTAGCTCTTTGTTCTTTTTTACTGTTATTTCTAGTTTTGTATTGTAGTAAATTTATTATCTTATCTTATTTTATTTTATCCCATAGTATCTCAGACTTCCTAAGAATAACAAATTTCTAGTTCCTAGCCATGAGCAGACCATAGCCTCCCAGTGGTAAAGCATTGACCTTCCAGATTTCGAATGACAAATCATGCGTCACAAGACATGAGCCACAAATCATAAATCACGCACCACGTTTTAGGAGTTACAACCTTCGCAGTTCGGGAATCTTCAGCTATTCTAAATTCGCGTTATGCGCAGTCACGCGTCAGGAGTTACGAATACAGAGTTAATTACAGCCGCGTTTACGAGCCTCGGAGCTCCCAAGTATCTTCTCATTCAGAATTAGACGCCTGAGATATAAGTCAAAACCTTCGGTTCATAAGCAACTATCCATGAAATCTAAGTCACGAATCTCACAGTCCATGAATCTTCAACAATAAAGATTTCGAGAAGTGAACAAAGATGCACGGGTCACAAGTCATGATACATTAGAGGCAAGACACGAGGTAAGAGTTGCAAGGCACGAGTCATAAATCGTGCCGTCCGTGAACCTTTTACGAAAACAGATTAGCAATTATCAGTCACAAGTCCACTGCCTCTTCCGCAGCTGAGTGACTTTATATAATGATTGTGTGAGGAAACTTAAAAATATATAATTTTTCACTTCAATCATCTAGAATACAAACTCATCATTCCATCAACCAGCGCAATTAGACAGTCAGTCAAATCTAATCAGTTCTAGTAATTTCAGATCGAGTCATAATTTCCAGCGTTTTACGTAATGTTGTGGCAGTCATCAATTTCGAATGGTCAATTAAAAACTAGCAAATATTTAGAAAATATCAAACAAACATTCTAAATTTGAGTCCAGATAGTATGATTACCTACTAGCGAGTAGTGTGTAACTCGCAAGCGCACTGCGAGTATATACGACTAGCTGGTGAGTAAGTCACCTCTTTACGAGTTTGGGTTCAATTCTAGATCATTTGTACATTCAGAACTGAATAGCTTCCGAATTCATGAACTAGGCTCGAAAAAGACTCGAAAAACATAATGAATCATACATCTTTGCGAATATATGAACGCATGTTTACCAACCCAAATTAATTATGAAGTGAATTGATGATTTATTCAATGAGTCGGCTCTATATTTCCCACATTAGGCACTTGGACGG